TTTTGAAGAAGAAGAAAAGGGTTTCAAAAGAGAGAGCAGAAAGAGATAGCCTATGCCTATATTACAAGGACTCCAACCGTAGTTTTACATAGCAAAAGAGAGGCTCTAGGCATTAAGGTCCTTACAACACCATAGGCACAAAGCATCAAAAGCACTAATCACAGTGAAGTAAGTCGGTAGGTTTTCAAGATTTTCTTAGAAACACGACCGTAATCATAAATACAGGAATTAAAGTAGCAAAAAGTTCAACCATAAAAAATAAATTAAAAGACACAATCGATCCATATTGAACTAAAAAGTTCATTTGCTATTCATAAAAGTATAAACAATATAAATATATTCACACTTCTTCCTCTCTCTTTTTCTTTTCTTTCTTTCTTAGATTTTTTATAAGCAACAAGCATATCAAGTCAAAATTTGGGAGCAAGATCAATCTATATACAACCGCTGTTCAATTTTTTATCTCCTTGCATCTAAGTTATGTACTTATAATCATAATCGAAATAAGACCAGATCGATTTTACCTCCATGAAATTAAAAACATTAAAAAGGAAGAAACACTTCAAACATGCTTAAAGAGCAGAAAAGCAAGAGATATATGGATAAATAACGCGCTATAGCTATCATTTGGCCAACAATAAGCATCATTTCCTGAGAACCAAACAGAGTTTATAGAACTGGAGCGGAAAAACTGAAAACCTGTAAAGAGGAATAGGCTTGGGAAGAGGAAAGGAGCGGCACTGAGGAGAAGAAGCAGGGATCTTCCGCTTAGGCAATGAGGTAGATGAGAGGAAGTGTGAGGAGCCGGATATCGTGGCTGAGAAGGCCGCCATTAGCATCACTTGCAACAGGTACAACCACCACCTCCCCAAGCAAAACTAGAGTGGAGAAGAAATCTAAACTGGAGAAGAATTTTTGGCAGAGGCAAGCTCAGGAGAGAAGAAGATACCGCGCAAAGGCAAACTCACAGGGAAAAGAAGGGTATTTTAACCCTTAGGACGAGAATAAAATAATACCTACCACACACTTGGGAATAACATTCCCATGAATAAAACACCAAAATTTACTGTTATTATTGAAATATTAACTTCACTTTGGAATCTTATCCAATTAAATATGGGTATCCTTAGTCAGAAAAAAAATATCTGTTGGGAATGTAAAAATCCTTGATCCAAACGGGCTGTTAAGGTTATATTTAGGTAATGGTCAAATTTTTAAGGTTTAGTTTCTTTTCATCAGCCTAACTTTGAACTGTTGTTGGCTAGGTGTTCAAACATAATTGTGAAGGCGTAGACCGATTTTTCTTCTGCTACTCTCGTTGAAAAGGGGATGGATATAAGTGAAAAGGATAAATCTGAGCTAGAAAACAGGAATGAGAATAGCATAAACTACGAAACACCTGTTTTGTCATCGGATTGGCAGTTTGGTGGTGCCAATCTCACAAGTTCTGGCGCGAGTTTAGTTCCTAGTAGTAATCCATTGGCTATTGGTTCGGCATGTGCCTCTGCTTCGATGGCAGACTCGTTTGGTTCTAACCTTTGGGAGCACCCATCTAATTCTCAAAACTTGGGATTTAGTGGCATCAATGTGCGAAATGGTGCAATCTCTTTAAATGCAATGGACACTGGGAAAGGTACTCTTACCCCTTTGAGAGGTAGCATTGATAGACCATTTGATATGGGTTGGAATGCTGCAAGTTCAGCGTTGAAAGGGGGCTTTTTTTTTTACCGAATACGACTGGGACTCTACCACAGAGGCTATCACAGTTGCCAGCTGATTCGACTTTCATTGAGGGTGCTGTGAGGTTCTCGAGTTTTACTGGGGGAGTTTTAGTGATATGGTGAGCCTTTTTGGTATGCCTGAATCTTTGGCTCTGTATTCTAGAGGAATGGGATTGATGCCGGGACCTGAAGATATGTTCGCAGTCAATGGGATGAAATCTGTACCTGGTGTGGAATCTCAGAAGAGTAAGTTGAATGTTATTGAAGCTACTAGAGATGCTAGTTTGCAAGTTGAAAATAGGGCTAAAGAAAGGCCACTTTAGAACGAGAGGAAAAGTGAAGTCTTGTGCGAGCTAATGAAGAAGCAAAACATGGAATTGGTGGCTCTGGTAATGAGTCCGATGAGGCTAAGTTTAGTGGTCGTGATGTAGGTCAAAATGAACCATCTTCATTCAATGGTAAAGGTGAACATTCTGCCAAGGGTCTCAGTTTGAAGAAAAGAAAAAGGGGTTTACAGGTAAAAAAATGTTCACTAATTGTTTCCCTGATCTATTTTACACTTTTGTTTATCGACCAAGTTTTGATTGCTAAGTTTATGGCAGGATGCTGAGATTGATCAAGCTAAAGGAGGTCAACCACCTACCAAGGCAACTAAGGATGGTGCCGAAAATCAACAAAAGGGTGACCAGAAGCAAACTACAACTGCAGGGAAGCAAGGTTCTCCAGCTTCTCAAGAAGAATATATCCATGTGAGAGCCCGAAGAGGCCAGGCAACTAACAGCCAGAGTCTTGTGGAAAGGGTAAATTTTATATGGAATACTATTTGAAATAGCAGTATCAGATCGTCCATCTGTGTTAGATTGGAGTTGATTGGTTATTACTTCAGGTAAGGAGAGAAAAGATTAGTGAAAGGATGAAGTTCCTTCAGGACCTTGTACCTGGTTGCTGCAAGGTGTGATAACTTGGACCCTATAGTTTAGGGAGTACAACCATATCGACTTTTCAGCAGTATTCACAAGAGACATTGTAACTTATTGTGTGAGAGTTTATTGGTACTTGCAGGTTACAGGCAAGGCAGTGATGCTAGATGAAATAATTAACTATGTGCAGTCGCTTCAGCGGCAGGTTGAGGTATTGGAGCAGAATTTGCAACTTCTGTTTTTCGACCTTGTTTTGCCCTGGTAATCTAGTGTAATTGGTGATGATGGAATTGTAGATACTTCAGTTTAATTAATTAGTGAATTTTGTTCTGGATTGATGTAAATATTGTTACAACTTGGGATATAATTTGTAGTATAATCATGTTCTTTCCTTTTGCAGTTTCTGTCAATGAAACTTGCTACGGTTAACCCCAGGCTGGACTTTAATATAGAACGGCTTCTTGCAAAAGATGTAAGTTGATGAAGCACGGATTTAGGAGTCCTTAATATCTACACACGTCTCAGCTAACCCGTTAAAAGCTGCTTTTTTTTTTATGTGCAGCTTATTCAATCTTGAGCCTGCGCTTCTTCAACTCTGGGGTTTTCTCCGGATTTATCTGTTGGTTATCCTTCATTGCATCCATCTCAACCTGGACTTGTTCAAGCTGCCCTTCCTGTTATGGGGAATAATAATGATATTCTTTCTCGTTTGATAACGATGACCGGAGGATTGAAGAAGCCCAATCAGATTTCCCTTCATTTCATATAGGCCTTTTAACATCTTTTAAAGGGTTACTAATATGAAAATAATTAGATTATGTACGTAACACCAAGATTCACGACTACTAAAAATTTTAACTTTCTATACAATGGTTCTAGCTATCAAATGCATGGGAGGATGAGCACCACTATGTTGTTCAAATGAACTATGAAACTGGTGCTCCTTCGGACAGCCTTAATGTAAATGGTATCACCCCCTTTCATTAATGTCCCAACTCATAAATGTCCTCTGATCTGATTAAAATTCATCTAATGCTTTTGCAGAGTCTCAATCCGGTAATACAAAAGTAGGACTTTGATCCTTCTCATAAGGGTCTATGGCTCCATTCCAGGCAATTCATTATAGCCCTACTAATATATATGGTAGCATACTTATTACTTAACCACTCTTTCGAAGGTTAAAGTATAAACATACACCGTCACCATATATCTACCGAGCTCAAGGTTCTTTATCCGTATGGCCTGTCAAAGATCAAGTCAAATCATATTCCGTCACCATATGGAGATGTGGAACTCCTGTTGAACATGGGAATGTATTGGTGTCCTAGTCAGAGGTTAGGTGGATTAGAATGTATAGATTGATTATGGAAAGTTTTTGTGATATAGGAGTTATATGTATTATCTAGTAGTATATTGGATGAATCTCTTCTGTAATTTATAGGTGGCTATGGGAAGTAATTTGTTCAGTTAGATTGCATTTGTTCTTCAATCTTCTCATATTTGCTTCTTTTTTTCTCAAGAAATGAAATTGTAGGCCAAGTGAATGTTGAATACAGATATATTCGATCCGAGTACTAATCTGTCTGTAGTTATTCAGTAAAAGTGTCAAGTTAAAAGGACAGAGTACCAAATCGTTGTTCTATATGACCAAATTAGAACAATGGAATTTATTAAGGTTGATTCCTTTAATAAGCAGATCCCCCCCCCCAATGGAAATATGTAGAATTGAAGCTGGGGACAAGAAATCATGGGAAGATGTCCGGACAAACAATCTGAGTGTCTTTACCTGTCTTGTCTGGGTAGTTCTACAGTACAGTAACTTAATATAAGACTAAAAAAAAGATATTATCAAAAATATTAATGATTTTTTTAATATTTCTGGTAAATCGCTACCTAAAACATTATTTTTCTACTGGAAATGTTAATTTCGTTACTTAATTTTCGGTAGAAAAACCGACAGAAAAAATAACATTTTAGATAGCGCCCAATATTAACATTTCTGGTAGAAAAAATAATGTTTTAGATAGCACTTTACCGAAAATATTAAAAAAATATTAATATTTCTGGTAACGTCTTTTTTTAACCGTATATTAAGTCTGTCGTATTTGAGGCAACCCGTCTTGTGTTAAAACATAACACACAGATTTTAGATCTAAATATATTGTATGATTCTATTTTATGACAATGAAGATGATGATAATAATAATAATGGCCCAATGGAATAATGTCTGACAGTCAAAAACCACCAACAATGAATATAATATAATTAGTACAGGTAGTCTCCCAGTTCAGGTAGGAACTGTATTCTGGATGTTTGACTGTGGGGTAAAGCTGACATGTAGGAAATGCAGAATATTTTCTTTGGTAATTTTTTATTCGCCATTAAAAACTCTGATGCTGTATGATGAATCTGTAAGCGGATAACTAAGAACCATGACAAGCCACTTCACTTTTATTCTTGTGGTGATTTGCTAGAATCTCCTTCATCTTGCTGACGATTCTGCATCATGTTGAAAGAAAAAGTTGGTTTTTGCAGTAATTGGATTAAAATTAGCAATTACATGATTTGGAAGTACAGAGTTCATAAAAATTACCTGTAATCTAGCGCATATCTCTAGAACTTCAGGTACAGGAGCCCAATCACCAAAATTCCTCTCTATAAACTGGTAAGCAATTCCAGTTCCTCCTTGACCAACTATGAAAAGGCCACCCTTTATTTCACCTTCTCCTTTAAAATTCTGGTTTATTCCCAGAGATTTTGCACGTTTATAGTTAGTAATAGCCCGGGGATTGAACAAAAATCCTGATAGAAACTTGTCTTTAAGTAGTTTCCCACCTCCAAGAGCTTTGAAGAATCCCATTGTACGATCCAATATCACGACACCACCCCAATAGCGTGGCCAAAAGTCTTTTACCTGCATCGAAAGTCGATATCCGAGGAAAAAGGAAGTTTATTGGAGAAAATATTTTGAATTAAAAGTATAAAAATCACCTCTGATTCTATGTGTTCATGAAGAACTGCAAACATTTGGATTCCCAGTGCATCAAATATTGGCTTTTTGGCATAGAGCTGGTGAGCTTCAGCTCTGCACATGACGCACCTGTTATCATTGTGTCAACAAATGGAGACAGAAAAGCCAATCAATTTCATCATTTAGGGGACAAAGGCAGTTTCTTTGTTAGTAGTTTTAATAGTTTACCCCGGTCGTCGAATGCATAGGAGAACAGCAGGCTTATCCCGCCACAGTTCCGAAACTTTCATAGGCGGAGTCATGGATTTCACCAAGGGCTCCATCCCAATCTTATACACAGGAGTTAATCTCTGAACCGATATGTTTTCAATAGCAGCATAAGGTGCCACGCTGTCGACCACAGGAGGAGGTTGTACACAACCACAGACTCGAGCCTCGGCCGGTCCCGCAGCGACAACCCCTTTAAAAATGTATCCATCTTTAGTCTTGAAACCAGCAAGTGTCTCTTCCGGCAACCTATCAGTGCTACTCCTGCCAAAGGATTTTGCTATGGATTGAACCATCTGAATGGCATTTTTTCTAGTTGGTGTACCCATGTCTTTCCTCGCACCGAAGCCGTAAGATTTCAGTAGAGGATCCGTGCATGCATCGGTTCGATCTGTGAAACGTGCAATATGTCCCCTTTTCATGCCAAATTGTAAAGATAGTTCCTTGGTGCTCAAGTTAAGGAGCTCTGGTAGTGATTTCCTCGTAGCCTCCAGCTGATCTCCAAATTGAATCAAAGAACGATCATGAAGGTACTTTCTGATTTCCAGAGCATCCTGAAAGAACATAGAAACAAATAAGTTGTTATATGAATACCAAGTGATAAATTTAGAGAGCTAATAAGTTTATTAACCTTTTGATATGGTGTCATGTTGATTGCATCCATATCTTCTGAATTCATGATCTTTAAAGTCGGAACGTCATCCCAGCCTTCTTCTAATAGCTTTGGAAGCAATTCCTTGAGAACCCCATCACCAACAAAATCTTCCATCGAAAAAGAAGCCATTGTCAGTTGTAATGGCTATGGTGCTTATTAAATATGGTCCTGATATCCCATGTAGACATGGTTTGATATTATCTCATTCTTTATTTTATTTGCGAGTTGCTTTAAGAAAATATTACTATAATCATCAGTTGTGAATTGAGATTAAATTAACAGAGAAGGAACTCAAATCCATTCGGCAGCTTCGGTTGCCAATTGCGACAAAGAATAGTATAATATGCTTGTCTTCTACATATTCACCAGTTGCTAGCAGACAATAGCCAAAGGTTATCTGTTAAAGTCAAAACATTGCTTGGAAACGGTCAAAAGATGCCGATGGAGATCGAAAGGGAAACAGAAATCGACTCCAAAACATAAAAGATCACAAAACTTCAACTAAATGCTTCAAAACTTCACGTATAAGTAAAACTTTCATCCACCATAGGAACAGCCAGGATTCATTACGACTGATCTCCTTAACTTCCCCAACCCTACCCACAATTTTTTTTTTTCATCTTGGATTTCTTCGTCAAATGTTCTATTTAAATTTTACATGATATTTTTAATCTCGCCAAGGATCACTCTCCGTCCTTACTTCCGATGGTTCAATAACTTGGTTCTCTGAGCCTTCTTCACTTGCACTCGAATCGGTTTCAGCAGCACTGACTTCTGATGCTTCGACTTCATCCTTGTCCTCTGATCTACCCCATCTTCCTCCGAGTGCCATTGCCATCATCTCGTATATCTTGCTACCCAACTCAGCAGGGCTGTCAGGCTGCATGATGAGGAGGGGCGTAAGAAAAATATGTTAAATGAGTGCAAAAAAGTTCAAAACAAAATGATCCAGTTCAACTTACAGAAAAACCACTGGAGATCAATGCTGTATCATATAATAAGTCAACAGCTCTCTTGGCATCACTGCTTTCGGGTGCATTCTTGCATGCAGCCTGCAAGGAAAATAAACCTTGTAGCCGTCAGAAGAAACAAAACATAAGGGCAGCAAGTCTTGGTATATCAACATTTCTGTAATAGTAGACCTCTAATCAACAGTTTGATCACCACTAAAGCTTAAACAACGTACAACTGCTATTTCTAATCAGGATCACGTATCTCATTAGTGCAACTACTACTACATTTCATATTAGTTCTACATAGTAATTATCTGAAAAAATAGGGCTAAGTGTAATGCTGCCATTCTTTGTGCTTTCTTATGGTCTCGGTGATAAGTATCAACTGCTTTACCACACTGAAAGATAAAAATAGTTAAAAGAATGCTACACTAGAATATCTTCAATCAAGTTGAACTAAAATGGTCTTACGTTCAAGTCTTTAATAATAGGATGATCTGGATTAATCTCCAGGATCCTCCTTCCCCTCATGAACTCCAAACTTGCTGTATCTCCAAGCGCTTGTGCTTTCATCAATCTTCATAATGAATCGAAAATATTAGTCAAGGAATGTAATGTATGTTTCTAACTCATGGAGAGAAATAAATAGAACCTCACCTTTCCATGTTAGCTGACCATCCAAAGCACACAAGGTGATGAACTTAGTCGCTTTGAAATTTGGACTTTGGCCACCTTGTCCCCCAGTTGTTGCTTTATCCAATCACAGAGTAGATTAAATTCTTGTTTGGTTTCCCTCTCGTTTACCTCATCTTCATCACCTGGTAATTGGTATAACAAATTCCATCAGATGCGCACCAGCCATCTGAAATGAAGAGCAAGGCTGCCAAAGAAAGATGCCCCTCCCCCTCCAACCAAAAAGTACATCATTTAAAAAAGAATGCAAGAAAAATAAATACTAACCGAGCTCCAAGTCTTCCTTGCTAATATCAACAAATTTCTTCTCTTTGTACGTCTGCAGGTTTTGGATGGCAACCTCATCGATAGGTTCAATTAAATAGAGAACCTAAAACAAAAAGATATATCAGTTACTATAATGGGACAAGAAAAAACGTGCTAGTAATAACAAGAATAAATTATATGGTGTTTAACAGTTGTACTTTTGTTTTTACAGTCTTCTATTGTTCCTATCCGTTTACTGCTAAGAAGTTTGTTATACTGTATGTAGACTTGCCGACTTTAGCTGGAGAATAAATTGATTCATCCAAAATAATATGAAAGGAATAAAAGAATCTCTGCCATCCTATCTACTATGTCAAACAACCAACATTTAACTAATTTCTATTCAGGTCTACACTATCTAACAATTTTAGCCCGTAATTGGAAGTACTCCAAATGTCATGTAGAAAACTAAAGACATGAAATCTTAGATTATTTTGACCCTTAAAAATCCAATGCCAAATCAACATACACACCTCAATGTCTTTTTGAACCAATTTCTCCAAAAATGGAGCAGTCTTGGCACTTTTCAAGCTGTCACTTGCCAAGTAATAAATAGCCTTTTGATTCTCTCCCATATTTTCAACATACTCATCCAAACTTGTCAATTCCTCCTCATTTTTTGATGTGTAAAAACGAAGTAATGGTGTTATACGCTTGTGATTACCAGTGTCTTCAATGCATCCCAACTTTAGGAACCTGCCAAAGTTCTCCCAGAACTTTTTGTAATCCTGTAATCAAGTTCACCATAGTCCAAGTTAGTAGATAAAGTTCAGGTCAGCAATGGTAAAAACAAATACCAGTTGCATCAAACAACATACCTCCTTATTTTCACTTTCAGAAATTTCTTGAATCATGTCAAATGTTTTCCTGACAAGCCTCTTCCTCATAATTCTCACCTAATACACAATAACCATAATAAATTCAATATGGAAACATAATAGTAATCGCTAAATAGTTATCATGGTCGGTCATAGGCCCAAAACTGAGAATAAAAATTTACATGAGGATTTTTTTTTTGATAGAATATTAGGCCTCGTTAAAAACCCTCTAGTTGCCCTCCATATTACAATAGTAATATGAAGGACAAACGAAGAGAGAAAAGAGTGCCTACTACTTTTATTAAACAGGAGAATAATACACTACCATCCCTTACATCAAACTTTAGAAGCCTTAATCCTAATTACATAAGACTTAAACACTTCTTCCTATAGAAACTTAACACTAATTACATAAGACAGAAAACAAAATCCCTGCAGAAATGTAAGGGAGTCTAGCACCCTAACACACCAAAACAAAGCCTAACAATCATCCTATACCATCCTTAGCTAGTCTGTCCGCTTCCCAGTTAGCAGCTCTCAAAATTTGCCTTAACATAATATCCTTCCCTTCCATTATAGAAACAATCTCCTTCACCAAGGATAGAAACATAGGGGAGCTTAGTTCCGAATTATTGATCCACTTCAAAGCATTACTTGAATCCGATTCTAAAATAATCCTCTTATTAAGACCAACACCTGAATCAGACGACATATACAACCCCTCTTTATCGCCAATAATTCTGCCATAATCGGAGGTCCCCCCCAACCTTATCAGAGGACCAGTGAATCAACACCTCTGCTGTCCCTTATGAGTCCACCTATACCACCTTTATTCCAACCACTCACCATCGCCCCATCAACATTAATCTTTATGAACCCGTCTGGAGGAGGAACCCAACAAGTAGGATTGGATCCACTTTTTTTCTGTCTACCAATCAAATCAGCAAGAGTTAAATCACCCACTAGGGAGTCGAAAGGGATCTGCACAGCGTCAAAACTAGCAGCAAACCAAGATACTGTTCAAAATCGAGCAATAAAGAACATCCTCACCACATCCAGCTTTCTTTTCATAAAGATAACCTCATTCCTACATTTCCATATAGTCTACAACACCGCCCTTAAGATAAATTTCCAAATACTGGAATTCTGTTGTAGCTCATCCCACATAATAATAAAGTCTAAGATATTATTAGGGATCACCAAAGAAACATTCCACAAATTCACAAATCTAGCCCATACACCCCAAACTACCTCAGTGCAAAAAAATATGAGAAACAAATTCCACAAACCTGCCACACAACGAGCATAAAGGGTCTTCAATCCCAGCCACTCCTCGCATCAACAATTCCTCTTTAACCGCCACTCTCTGGTGAACAACTTGCCATATGAAAGTTTCAACACGTGGAGGAGCTATCCCGGCCCAAATATGTTTGTCCCACTTAGCCTAAATCCCCTGATTACCAACCGTATCCAAAAAATTATTAATACAAGACTTAGTTGAAAAACAGCCCTCTCCATTCCCTAACCAAATCCAGTAATCGTCCTCCTCAAGAGAAAGTGAGATGTTATTCAACATAGAAATCAACTGCAACCATTGTTCAATCTCCCAATCCACTAGATTTCTTCTCATTTGAATGTCCCACACCCAGCCTACTGCATTGTTCACCCTAAACTCCACCACTTTACCCTCTTTATTATTCGACAGTGCATACAATCTAGGGAACAAGTCTTTAAAAGGGACTTCTCCCAACCAAATATCATGCCAAAACTCCACAGAATGCCCATTTCCAGCTTTCAAACACAAGTTTCTCCTAATGCAATCTCCAAAGTCATCACTAGAAAAGAAGTTATTAATCACCTCTCCAAATCCAAGAGGCTCGAGCTGTCGAAGAATTCCCCAACATTTTGGAATTCAGATCCAAATTGTTCACACAACAAACCACCCTCTTCCACCAAGAATCCTTTTCAGAAACAAACTTCCAAACCCACTTTCCCATCAATGCACTGTTCAGAATAGCTAAATTCGAAATCCCTAGACCCCCCAACCTTCTCGGCTTACTGACCAAATTCCAGTTCACCCAATGTATGTTTCTTCTATCAGTCGAACCTCCCATAAAAATGCAACCATGATCGAATTTAATTTCTGCAACACAGTTTTTGGAATTCTAAAAATAGAAAGGAAATAAGTGGGAAGGGAGCACAACACAGATTTAACCAACACCACCCTACCTGCTAACGCTAGAGAGTTTACCTTCCAACCAGTCAACTTATTATGAAACCTCTGTACTATAGGCTCCCACATTGCAACAGAATTTCTCTTGGACCCCAAAGGCAATCCTAGATACTCTGCTGGAAAATTACCCACTGAGCAGCCAATTTCATTAGACCAA